CTTAAAACTATACCAGAAAACAAGTGTCTATGCCTGAACTCTGTTCTCAGCTTTGGCAGGCTTAAAACAAAGAATACAAAACTGAAAATCCCCATTCACTTAATACAATATAGCACGCAGAGTTTAATTAAAAATAAGTAAATAAATAAATAAAAGCAACAAGAAAAAACAACACAATAAAACGCCAACAGCAAGAAAACCTGCATAAAATTACAACGTCATGGTTTACCAGTGTCCAGTTATAAAGCATAGGATGTGAAAGTTTATTTACTTCTCAGTGAAGTGACCAGGAAATATGTACATATTTGTGTGTGCAATGTTTGAGTATACTGTCCGTACCGGCATGATAGAAAATTTTATAGAGGAAGTGTCAATCTATTCTAAATCAATATAAAAGAAAGACTTCAATTATTAACTAATGAAGCTGGAGGGAAAAAAAAGAACAAAACACAAAATCAGAAAAACCACCATGACCAAGTAGTGTAGTAAGATTTTCCCTATTGCATATAAAATGAATAATACATGTGAATCCTTAATTTTTAATTTAGATATCTTTAGACGTATTATGTATCACTATGAGTTACATATATATCCACCCAAAGAGAGAGAGTACAAACAGGTGCACATGACAGAGAATAGATGGAAATTTATGAATATAGTACTCTTTATATAGATGTTCATTATTCCGACATGCATACATATAAATCTTTGATCTCTGAATGTTCAACTATGGTCTTCAAGGAGGAAGCAAGAACGGGAAACAGTTTATAAAAAGCTTGTGCTAGAATTGTGAACTGAGCTTGGTTGAAAAATGATACTGTATACATCGCTCAGAATCAAGGTCAAAAGTGAATTAGGAATCCAGGCCCTGAGTAATGAGGGCTTAGCACTTAGCAGAAATGACATGCCCAGTTTCCAGCTCAGAAGTGCCAGCTGACCTGCCAACCTAACATTCCAGATCTGAAAGGGGGAAATCTGCTCTCCTAGCTACAGACAAGATGTGTACTACTAATTATTGCTCATAGAGGCTTATGATGAAGTACAGTAGGATAGTTGTCAGGAAGCCAATTCTCCGCCTAGAATTCCGGCAGCCCAGGCGATGCAAACCTGTCCCACAAAAGTAATACAAGCAGTACTCTGAAAGAAAGGTCTTTTAGTGAAAGGGGATAGAAAGGGAAAGAAGCAGTCTGACTGTGCTATCTAACATAAACTCTTCATTTGAGTTGTAAAGAGATTTAATACTTGATTGTACAGGAGGATACTTCCAAAGAAAAAAAGCCAGTAAAACAATCCTCCTGCTCATAGAAAAACTAAGACGATGGATGCATTGAAGTTATCCAAGAGGCCTTAGAGTCCAGTGTTGTTGATTAAATTAGACACCTGTTCATATCTGACCTCTTCTGTCTTATGAGAACACATGTCAGTGAAGTCTTTACATACTCAAATTAACTCTAAATATTTGTAGCATTCTTTTTTTTTTTTTTTTTTCCCAGTTACAATTTTCTCATCAATTTTCTCATTCCTGAATCAAGACACAGGAACACCTTAATGTACAAAGTATGCAAGTACTGGACCATGAAGTCAAAACATACTGTTTAACCTGTGATGTTGGTAATCTTTGTTCAAACTGCAAATAATGTTAAAAACATACCTAAGGTATATTCAGTCCTGTATGAAGCTCTCGTGTTCCCAGTATTAAACACAAGGCATGACACTGGCTGAAGCACTATTATTAAAGAGAGATTAAAACAGCTGTACATTATGCTGGAGCACTCACTCTTTCCTTTACAAACAGACGGTCCTGGATTACAAGCAGCACTTGACCATTTAAATCACTACAACAACCAGATTTAACCAGCTGGGCCATATTCTCTTAGGCAATGCCTGTTGACCTCCTCCGTCACAGCTGCTCAGATGAAATTCTCATTAGACAACTTATTTTCAGAAGCCAAAGGACTCTGATTAAATATATCTATTTAGACACTATAAAGGTTTTCAGTATATATTTCTTTTCCAATGTTATGAGATACAACGGAGACTACAAGTAGTATATACAAGCATAACAGACACCTAATATCTGAAGGTATAACACAAAATATTTATTTAAGTATTTGACACCAGCAACTCATATTACTCAAATTCAGCTCCTATAGATGGACCAGAAAGCTACTATAAAAACATTAAAAGACACTTGTTGCTGTACTCGCATGGGGGTTCAAGCAGATGACTGGAATTCTTCAGTTCCTTATTCCACTCTTGACTCTGCAATTAACTTGACATATAACCGTATCTTAGCCTATTCCCACAGCTACACTGATGGTCATGGAGCTCCTCCCTATAAAAGATCCTCACATGTACTATTAATTTATTCAAAGGAGTGATGCAAGACTTCAAGCCCCACAGATTTTACACAGTAGTATACAGTAGAAATACATGTCTTTTCCCCATTACATTCATTAAAACAATTATAATATGCTATCTATTTGCTCAAAAAGTCAGCAGATGTTTTTCAATTTGGGTAAGCAATTTTGTGGCAGATCAGGACTTATTACACAAAGGGCTTCTCAACAGCATTGAATGCATACCATTTTAAGAAAAGAACTCCATAGAAACCTATTTTAAAGGATAGATGTTAAAGAGCATCATGTATGGTACATGTGTGATTAGGCTATTAATTAGGTTGTTTAAAAGAGACTACAATATGGCAAAACATCTTCATAATCTCAAATCTCATTTCTCCAGCTGACTGCACTGAGTCTGTTGCAGCTCCCACAGTCTCATCAAGGATCAGAGTCTTAAAAGAGTAATTATTTTTTAAATGTTATTTTATTCCAATCAAACAAGTATGGAAAGTTTACCTTTTTTTCATTGAGAAACCTCTGAATACTGAAATAGGTATTCAAATCTGTCGTAAGAATTTTGGTATGTCTAGTCCACACAGAAATTTAAAACTACTGACCTCCATAAGCGTAATATCCTGAAGAATTTCTAATCCTTCTACTAATGATTTTTCCATGTTAGATTATATGGTACCAGTCAGATCTTGATTAATTATTTTCTAGAAAGTGGAAGTGACTTTTTTTTCTACAGAAAATGCTGGATGAATCAAAAAGAACATAACATGAAGATACAGTCAATTACCTTTGAGTTTACAGGTAGACTTTAGAATAGTTTTCCAGTATAACATGGATTTTTTTATAGATCAAAAATCACCTTTATTTCACAGCTGGTGAGAATATACAGCATGGAAGGCTCAGACTCAGTGAGAGGGATCTCTCTGCTGTGCACATACCTCTCTTAAATCAACTGGTGTATACCAATACAGAGGAAGTGCAGAAAATTCTTGGGAGTTCATGTAAAAATAAGCTATGAAATGCTTGAATCCTCACAGTAAAATACTATGTTTAAACTTTTTGATGCACATTTTTATTAGCACACCATTCAGTATACTCCTGGAAAAGTCTTAGCTGTGGTGTCACTACAATCAACAGCAACTTGTATACTCCCGCAGCAAAGTATGAGCCAAGACCTTTGATTAGCATGGAGTGTCGAACGACTGTTACTGTCTGTAAAAAACAACTTCGCCAAAGTAACATTTAAAATAGTTTTCCTAGTCTAACCACCAAAGCTAAGAAAGCAATTTTTAAAAGAGTGATCTTTACAGCTGAAAACAGACAGATGGTAGTAAAGAATCTGGGACATTCTCTCTTTAGAGATGTTTCACCAGCTTCAGAAAGGACACCTATAGAACACATTTATCTATGTGCTGGCATTTAACAATTATGCCAAGAAATTTGAAAGCCTACTTCCATCCCTACATGATTCTATCCCATATTTAAACATCTTATTGTATCAGCATTAATTTTAATTGAAATATACATTGCTACATGGAACTGAGGGATCCTAAAGTGCCCGGTGTGAAGTACACTGTGACCATACCATCAAACTGAGGTGGTGAAACCCATTCTGAACCCATTCATATTTCAAAGAAAAAAGGGATCACAAAGTTCTACTGCCTTATGGTTCTACTATGTTACAAATATTCCTCCTGGGTTATTTTTAATGCCACAATACAACACTGGTAAAATAAAGATAACAGATTCCACACAGGTGCTTCCACATCTGTTTATCTCTTTCAGAGCCTCCTGCACTCTCATCTTCCCTGGTTCAAACTCATGTATGAGCTCACAGACGAGAAGGTATTGCTGCAGAAGCAACCAGGACTTCATACTACTTGACATGGGAAGAGATTTTCGTAGTGGACCCTGACCATGTGCACACATATACTGATAAACTCATTCTCCAGTTCTGTTTAGTTCCTATCAAGGCCAAAATCTTAACAGCTAATGAAAATATCCAAATAAGGAAGGAATACATAAACTGCCTCAGAGCTCAAAGATTTGTCCTCATTTTTATCTCTCTCTCTTAACTCTTGTAACAGTATCTGAGCAGATTATAAAAAAATACATTATTTTTTCAGCTGCAGCTCTAGATATATAAGTCAGAACTAGGTACTCTTCACTCTCAAAAAAACCGTTTCCCATTCTTCTAGCCACAGATGCTGGGTCATTAAGGTGATGAAAGATGAGAATTTCTAAGGCCAAACAAAGCAGCTGATGTTTTATTAATTCTTATTGTTTAAAATAAACATTTATATTTTAAAAGAACAAGAACCAATACCACTGAAGAATATCCCTCACAACTTTACAGTCTGTTAAGAATTCATCATAACCTTTCAAGTAAGAGTTGAGTTTTCACCTAAACCGATGTTCTTGCTTTGACTCACAGACAACCAACACAATTTAGAAAGTTTAAAAAACTGGCATATTTGTCTAAAATCCCTAATGGATCTCATTGCCATGGTAACCTGTGAATAACTTTATCCTAGCCTTTGCCAATTATGCAATTTTCTGGCTCTTGATACCCAACACATTCTTTACGCCATAAAAATTGTAGGGTTTGGGGGTGGGGAAACTGTATCAGTCTTATCCAACACATACCCTCTTGCTCAGTCCTGGTCATTTCTTCTAGTTTCTTCTGCTTTAGTGTGTCCACCACATCTGCAAGGCTTCCTTTGCGGCGTTCAGGTGTTCCAAAGTTAACACTGGTCATTAGCTCACTGCGGTCACGACCCCCTTCGTCGGGCTTATTTGGTGAGGTAGAGGTATTTCGGAAGGAATATAGGGAACATAACTTATTACTCTCTGACTCCTGCAAAGAAACAATACAATGTGAAAACATAGGCTATTCTCTTACATCAAAAGGATCTCAGAGGTAAAAGTTGAAAGCATCATTTATTAGTCTACAATACTAACAAGCCTACATATATCCTCCAGTTTCTAAAATGAGCATTATGATTTGAATTTCTCAGGTGCAGTGCTTGCCAGGGCTCTTTTTTCCCTAAGGCCAGTCCTCTCCGTGCTTCTGACGATCATACTTCATGCCTGAGATACTCATCATCAAGGATTTTCCTTGTTAGAAACAAGCCACTTCAACACTTTTTTCATTGAATATGTTAATCTTTTACAGTTTTCTTTAGTTCCCTAAGTAAGGGCAATACATGTAGCCTTAAGAGAGAAAATACAGGCAAGGACAAATTATTGCTGGATAGATCCACAGCTAATGGAAAACAACATAACTCTGAAACTAGAAAAATAGTTGGGCCAATAATGACTGAGGAGCAAAGAATCTGCTTCACAGTTAAACAAATTTTATAGTATGTCCCTACCCATGTTCATTCACTCCTCTTTAAATTAATCCCTTTTCTTAAATAATGGAGGTTATAATGCTTCTAATATACAGAAGGAGATGTTACTTTCCAGGCTAATGTGGATGAGAATGAGGAAGGAAATGAGTTTATGGCAGAACAAGTCACGTATGCTGATACATAGGTATTGAGACTACATGTATCAGAGAAGGTGTTGTACAGTCAAAAACACAGAAGGAGAAGTAAAAAGGGCTCATCTCCCTTGATAATAGATGACTCATAGTATTTGAGTGATAAGTTAAAAATAGAAAGCATCAAAAAGCAACGAGTACTGCCACTTCTCAGTTTTGTGATACCACCAGTCAAGCCCTTCATGAACTTCTCTGGCTCAGACTCCTCATTCTGCCAACCATAGACGTGAAATTTGCTGCATCTCAGCTTTCACCCTTTCAGCTAGAAAGAGCACAATTGTTCGATTTGCCCTCAAAAACTCAACTGTGGGAATTTTTCACACACTTTCCTTTCTAAAATTATTATTCTAGTCTAATTTTTAATAATATCAGACTAGTAGTGTTAAAAATCGGGGACAAAAAAAATTGAGGGTTTTTGGTATGCCTAGAAATGTCAGCACATGTATATTTGATGCCATAAAACAGATTTTCTTTAAAATTGAAGAGTAATAATAATAACAGTGGCAATATATTTAAGAATTAAGAAATGAATGAATGGTTCTATCAAAAATCTTTCTTCTAATGTATAATGTTCCCCACTAACAATAATATTCCTACTAATCTATGAGCTGAAAATACCCATTTACAGAGTACTGAAGAAACTTGTGTTGGGAAATGTCCCAGGTGAAACAAGAACTGAAGAAAGATGGACCAGAAAACATTAGTCATCTGCAACATCAGACATCAATCTTTGCTTCAGCCTTGAACGGATTAAGAAGGAGCTGTGCAATGGAACAGAAGGAACAACACTAACAATGAGCAAGCATGGTAACTAAGGGCTGTGGACTGCAGAGAAGGTGTTGGTGACAAATCGTGATCAAGCACAGCAGTATATGATTAGAACAACACTATTATTGCCACTGGAGAAGGAGGCAGCATTTGCTAGTGATGGTGAAAATGTGTTTATTCACTAAGACAGGAAACTAGAAGATGCTATCACATCCCAGCAGTAGCAGCACCCCTGTCAACACAGTACGAGTGACAGAGGTTTTATGAACACAGACAGAAAGAGATGAGACATGGAACAAACACTTTTCCTTAATTTTTTAATCTATCAAACATTTAAGAATTTGTCATTCTATCCATTTCTATTCACTAAAGAATCAAACATCACACAGGACAACAATATCTTAGACCAGGTACAGAGCTGAATCTATTTAGTTGCCTTTAGAAAAGGAAGGCTTTCTTATCTTCAATTGTTTCTGAAAATTACTTTGCATTTTTGTTAAAACTTGGTCTAAGTTACAATGGAGATGAAAAAAAGCATCTTCTAATATTTTTTAAATTTAAACCTTGAATTTCTACAATACATTTCCTTGATGAAAAATTAATACTCTATAACATAGCATTTTCACCTTCAAAGACTACAGTATAAGAGCATCTGAATTTTAAAGGAATTTGTTCTCAACAAATCAATGTCCTCTTACAGTGCATGAAGCATATACATCAGGCTCAATGCCAAGGTCTTTCATGCTCTCAGCAAAGAATTCTAAATCTATTGTTTAGGCTGGAAACAAGAAGATAAGGCTAATCTGTGGAGCAAGTAGAAATGACTGAATGTTCTTCCTCCTGATAATCTAGCCTGTCCCTGGCCTGGATGCATACATGGTCCAGCACAACGTTCCTTCACTGCTAATGAAAAGACTCTCCAAGTCTTGCCATCATTAGGCAGCACATCCACACTGTTCTTCCCCAGAAGATTGCAATGTCCATAATGAAGATGAGACAAGTTTAAGCTCCATGCAAATGATGTACAGTTATGGAATGGAGGCAGAATGACAGCCTTTACAAGAATTAGGATCTTTCCAACTTTCAGTTTTATAGGTAAATAAACTGTAAAATAAAAATAAAATAATAAAAGTTATCCCTAATATTTTTGATTCTGCTTGGGCCCTACAGCTACAGCATTGGTGTCACTGAAAGGCTGATACATTTGGAGTGTATTAGCTGAATTGATACTGCAAGAAACCCAGCAAGGATGACTTTCTGAGCCCCACCTTTTTCTGAAATCAGAAATAGTTAGAAAGAGTGGCTGAGGATTCAACAGAACTGTACCAACTGAAAGGCACTCAAGGGACCAAATGGGCAAATGGAAAAACTGTAGACTGGTCCAGTGTAAATACCTTATCTAATAATAGCAGAACTCGGATAGAAAAATCTAAATCAGCTGCATGTACAATTATCTACAAGAAATAAAACCAATTCCCAAGCAATCTATGATTCTAGATAAACTTGTGAATAATCTACAAATAAAATGTAGCTAAAGTGAAACCCTGAAAAAGCTTCAGAAGGAATTTTATAGCTAAGCGATCAGAACAGATATTTTTACTCCTATGTATCTCCTTTTGGCAGGGTTTTTTTTTATTATTATTATTATTATTCCAAGCATATGAACAGGTTATATTGACCTCACGTTAATGGCAAACTAGATAGATCAAAAAACAATGGGTCAAGAGAAGCATTGATAGTATATTTTCTCTAGAAAGGTCACTCAACTGTGCTTGGGAAGTTGTTACTGCAGCATTCAGTTTGCCCAAAATCAAATAAGGGTTCCAGTAAATTTATGAAGGATTTAAATTTGTTTGGTGGGCCTTAAAATCTTTTATGGGCAAATGCACATCACACTTATGTCCCACTGTCCCTCACCCACTGCAAGAACAAAAGTGCAACTGTTACATGCATCAGATGCAGGCCTGGCTATCAAAAATTAATTGGCATTGACATTCATGAGCAGCATGTAGATACCCTCCTAATGTAAGTGGAAATACATCCTTATGGCCCAGGTATCCTCTGAAAATAAACTAGTGGATGACGTGTCTTGTCTGAGAGAATAGGTATTTCATCTCCACAAGTTGTTTGTTGGTCTTCTCTAATGCATAAGGTACTCTCAGTAGAAAATCTGGAGTCCAGAATGGAAAAGGACCACAATGCTTCTTATCATAGAACAAGAAATTAAATTCATGGTTCAGAAAGGAGAACCTGATTCTTTTGAATATAGGAGGATTCAATAATGAAAGAGATCCTATCCTTCAGAAGCTTTATGAAGCCACCTGTTACAGAATGAAGAAGCCCCAGTTCATTTGACCTGAGGAGAGGAAAGAAAGGATGCTATTTTTCATGCTTTTTCCAAGAGCATGGAAGAAAAGTTAAAGACAAGTAAAGTGTCTGGCTGATATAAACTCGTTTTCATTTTGCAAAATCCAGCTAAGCAATCATCAGCACGGATGATAATTCTCCATGTAAGTTAACTTTTCGCATAATAACTGATAATAAGAAAATGGGCAAGAGAACACGACTGATATAAATGTCCACATAAGGTATTTGGACACAATCTGGTGCCCAAATTCATCCAGTAGCTACATAATACACTAGACAACTGACACATCCCTGAATTCTCAGATTTAAAAATCATGTATTTCTGTAAAATGGTATTGTAAGTCTAAACCTGAAATAATATCTTCAACACATGACAGTCCCTTTGAAAGGTGCATATTTCAAGATGTTCTATTCTTACTGATTTCAGAGGTTTCCATGTAAGGAGGTGGGGGAAAGAAAAATATAAGATGATAAATAGCAAACATTTAGTCTATGGACAAAAGATTTAACACAGAGCACACTTCTTCATCCAACGTTGGTGAAATTTCATCACAGTAGACCATAGACATTTTTAATCTCGACCATACTGGAATTATTTCAATTTTCAGTTAATAAATAGAACAATATTGACGTAAAGTGTCGGTATCAAAATATTATGTCCATCTGAAGCATATTTTACTCCCAATAAGAATGGAGTGCTTAGAAGAGAAGAAATTTAAGAAAAAGCTGTTTGACAAATTTTAAATGAGGTCCTAACAGAAAGTGTTAGGTAAAAGTATTGCTTACTATAAAGAACAGCAAAATGGCTTTCTTCTCAGTTTGATCCAAAGGGTCATCTGGTACAGATTGCTCAGGATCGCACCATACCTTTACTAGCCTTATAAAACTATCCTCCCACTCACATGCTAATACTGGATAATTGCAGAATAACTGTTTATGCCCGTACCAGAATACGCAGGGATATTACACAGGGATTTTGCCCACCACAGTGGTAGCATTTCCAGACCAGCCCTTAATAATTGGCAAAGAATAAAATATGAACACAGCTTATTACACAAAAATAAGCATAAATCTGACTGTTTAAGAAACAACATGTGTAATGATTTTACATCTTAAGCTCTCTTTTTTTGCCTCACTGTGTCAGATATAAAAATCTTTTAAGTTGAAGAGGTATTTAT